TATAACACAAGACACACAGGACACCCAGTCTCTTCTGGATCAGTATCTCAAATGGCACTAGACATCCATTATTTCAGAGAGTAAGTTGAGCCCTGAATGACTCCTGAGAAAAAGCAAAAGAATTTATTTTATGTAACTTAAGTTTCAGAGAGGGTGTTTTCAATAAGTTTTCTGATAGGTGTTCATCACTCAAAAGAACTTCAAACCATTAAAAGCACCTTGCGTAAATGCCCAAAAATCACAAAAAAATTTGCTTTTAAATACAATGTTTTCAAGAGTCAAACATAATGGGAACAAATCAGAATATTTCAGAAATAAGCCACAATAAGAAGCTTTCTCGAAAGAGAATTCTGCTAAGTATGATGTCTGGGAAAGCCACAGCAAAACTGAGTATTCTAAATTAAAAAAAAAAATAAAATCTGAGAATCCATTAACTTACATAAAATATATCATATCTTTGCTATTTTTAAGTTCATCAATAATTTGATCAAGGTCTTCAATGAGAATGAGACTAAATTCATAGTTTAACAGCCTAGATTTCTGTGGATCTTTTTATTCCAATGTTTCATAGCTTGCTAGTAGAAATGCTGCTGCATATTTGAAAAAAAAAAAAAAAGTGAAATATTAATGTTAGATCACTCCCTACAGATGCATCTAGGCAAATTATGAAATGCCTACCTATTGGTAAGCAGTTCTCCAGAGGTATAAGCCATCCCACTAGAGAAGAAAGAAGAAATTCAATTTTTAAATAATCAACCACTCATTTTAATGATCTTGCAATAAAAAGAAGTGAGCTCCTTACACAGTAGGAGGTAATTTATTAAACTTCTCCCTGATACGATACCTAGGATTTCAGCATGGAACAATCTTTGGGTTTGGATGGGAAGAATTGGAAAAGGCAGTCAAGCAACAAGCAAGCTGCAGGTGGGCAAAGTGAGGATAGGAGCAGTCCCTGGTGAAGACGTACTTCACTCAGCACCAAACCAGTGGTGTTGAACAAAACTAACTGAGCCTGCAGTTGCATCTTCCTGTAGGTATTCAAGACGTGATTCAGAGAGGCAATGGTGGACACCTCTGTGAAAACCACACTGCCAGGCAGAGAAGGAATTCAAAAACAAAGGAAACCATGCATTACAAACAGGACAACAGTGGACTATTACTGTTATTATCACATCCCAGAAAACAGAGAAGATTTTTCCTGTATATGATAACACCAAAACTGTACAAAAGTGCCCTGACGAGATTTCTTCCCCCAGATCTTTTCTCCATGGACACATTTAAGGCCAAAACAGTTCCTTCATACCTAAAAATGTTATTGAAGTTCTTGGAGAAGTCAAAGCTCTGACTCAATTTGAAAGAACCACAATCTTTTTCGCAGTTCAGAGCACAGAGTTGGCATACTTGCATTACACAGGTTTTGGATTTTTTCATTTAGATGTTGGCTGGTTGGGTTCTTTTGATAGTAGAAAAGAACTTACATCAAACAACTCATTTGTCTAGATCTAATGCTGTTAATTGCTTTAACTGTGCACTTTATCTACAAGATCCCATGTTAGCATTTTTAATTATTTAAAACACATTAAATATTTCTGGCATCAGCATGATCAGAGATTAGCTTCTTGATAATCATTCTTGTTTCAGTGTAAAGCATTTGCTTCCAGCTGCTATGAACTTTTAAACAAGCAAGAGCAATGTTTGCTGACATAAAAGGGACAATCTACTTCATAAAGGCATGATGACCAAATTAAACTGCATATGCCCAACAAAACAATACTATTTTATGCTAGACACTTCATATGGTTTAATAAAGTTAACTTGCCTAAGAGGAGTCTGAGTTACTGTATTTTACTGTATTATTTTGATTTCTACACCATATCACTACAGTAAGCTTTTCTTTTACTTCATTTACTTTTTTATTAGTTTAGATTCCCAGCATCTAACCCACATGGAAGCTACCTGTGTTGCGTCTACATTTGGTCCACGGCAAATAGTAAAACTTAAATGTATCATTGCTAGCACATCTCCAGAAAAATCAACGGAACAGCATCACCACTAAAAGTAACCAACCTTCTAAATCAAAATTCAACACAGACTGATTTAGGAAAGAAAATGTTAACTCATTCTTTACCACTAGAGAAAAGTTTTCTTGAAAATATAAGCAGCGATAAGAAAATAAACACATTTTAAGGTAAGGAAAAACCAAAATAAAGCAGTCGTAGTTTCCTTCCCCATTACCAAATGTATCTCTTGGAATCAAACTGCACCCGAAGCTTTCAACTCAAAGAATAAAGTCTATAGGTGGGAAGGTTACTGAGAGAAGCTTGAAAACATAATCTAACACCTGACAACTTCTAATAGAAAGAGTCTGAATTTATTTAATTACTGTTGTCTGGAAACTGAATTCCAGTGTTTGAATGCTTGAAGCTAACAATGCTAAAATTAAAAGCCATTGAATGATACAAAAAAATGGAAGCTATTCATCAATGTCTTGAACTGGGAACAGAGACAAAAGCCCAAAGATTCTGACTAGCATAAAGATGGCCTGAAGTGCCCACCCATCCCTCCAGTGACTAAGCCTAAAGATACTGCAGATAGATCCAAGGACTAAGAGGATAATTAAATGGTGCTTGATTTCTCTCTTTACCAAATGGCACACACAAAAACCTGGACTTGAGTCAGAGAATTTGCAGGGGACAGACTGCTCCTCACCTTGCCAATGAACTGAGCAGTTGTGTTGTACATGATCCAGCACTCTAAGCACAGACTGACTATTTCTTTTCCATCTTTGGACAGTAACATACTGAATGCAGCCAAGAAGTGCAGGACTGCACCCAGATGACCCACATCACTATAACCAAACGAAAGGTTGACTTCAAGCTTTGGCCAGGTTCATTCATTTACCTGGCAGCGCTGCGGTCACCCCTATCTAATCAGAAGACACTTGTTCTCTAATAAATAAATAAATAATGCAAAAATAGGTTTGAAAGATCTCTCTCTACCTTACAGCACTTCAGTTCTTCGGTCTAACAGTGTTGCCAGTCAGTGAGCAGACAAAGCTCTTGCATCACCACTATGACTAGCTTTGCAGCATGCTCCTACGCAACTCTCGATTATATTTGATAAACAAATGCAAGCTCTTGTGATAAATAACAGAAGAATTTTGCTTTTGCTAAAAGTAAATAAACAATTACTTTTATTGAGTTAGGCTAAAGGTGTTGTTAAATTAGTATTGTTAAAATTATAAAAGTTAAGCAAGCCTTTTGTTTTTGATCACAAATCAGGCATATGGTTGGGCATTGTGTAGAATTGGGCAAGGAAGAGGATGGGGGGGTGGTCTGTGGTTAGGTATCAGGTAAAGGGGAACCTGGATGCGGGGGGCTGGGAAAGAATGGAAGCCAGCAGAAAAGGAAGGGAAGAACTGAGGAAGAGGAACCTGGACTTCGCAGCTGCCCAACCCCCCCCCAAGCCCCTCAACCTCCCTCCCCCAAGGGCAGTGGAAAAGTACTGAGAGACACAGCCTCAGAGAAACAAAGAAAAAGGAGCTGTGCAGGTGTAAAGAGGAGAAAACCCGCCATTTTCGCTTAACCAATGAAATCTCCTGGTTGCTCTATAAGAAGCAGCCCCTGCTGTGGCAGGGTGCGCCCAGCGCTGTATTCTTTGCTCCACTGACTTTGTCCCCAAATAAAACATTTTTTTTTTTTTTATACGTGAGCTTGTTTCTCACACCTCTTTACTTATACTGATTCCGAGATAACCAAACAAAGGCTCTTCCCATCCACTTCCAGGAGAGAAAGAGCACAGACTACAGATTAACTAGAACCAAAATCTATTTGAATTTAAGTATTTATGAAATTCCTTCAGTAAGCACTACTGACAATACAGATCTCAGTGATGACTCTGAATTCAATGCAGCAGTACTGCTGAGACTCGAATATTTCCCCAATTCACCATTACGTAAGTGTGGTCTTTGAGGTCTGTTTTTCACAGACAGAGAATAAAATTTCTGAGTCTGGATTGGAATTTACCAATCTGCAATTCCTAAAGGATCACAACCACACCTGCGTTCAACACAGCCCAATGAAGAGGCTTGCAGAGACATCCAGGTAGTTTCTCAGCACCTTACCCACACGAAACACTGTATGAACAATACTGCTCCTAGGGGCTTTGCTACTTTGTTCAGAGCTCAGTCAGTACCTCTACACAGCACAGTCAACTTGTATGTCTTAATGATATGTTTATATGGAAGGTTTCATCCCTTCTGTAAAACATTATATTTCTTTTTCCTACCATCCCAGTAACAAAAACATTTGGTCTATGGTTACAATTTTCCAGACTACTTGATTCCGGTGGAACCCCACAACCAAGAGATTCTCTGGGAAGACCCCAAGATTACTTAAAACATGTTTCTGCTCCACATAGGGAATAACAAAGAAAAAGATACAGCTTTAGGCATGATTTTTATTATCACTTCATCAGCTCCGTTTCAAGTCTGAGCCTACCCTTATCTTTTAAGGCTAGAGACTTTACCTGGGGCATGGGTGTGGTTGTATGAAAACGACAAAGAAGTTGAAAATAAGTCAGTGTGAGTTATCAGCTATTAAGATACTCTGACTTAACTCAGAAAAACTAAGTATCAAAGTAAAGTAAAAATGGAATATCGATTATAGTATTTGGTGTCATTTAACAACTGATAGTTAAAAAACCCCTCACTAATCCGTCCCTTCATCTGCACAACTGTAAATATTCTGCACATTTGAATATTGTCTACCTATCATCTTGTACAGTAATGTTAGACTGAAAAATGCCAAGAACACAAAATAATAAGTAAAATATTTTTAATGTAGTAGGTAGTAATCTAATTAATTTAAATCCTAAAATAAGAGCTTTCCTTGTACGGAAAGTTTTATTAGGGGAAAGGAGTCTTTGCTTTAGCTAACTGCAACATTGTGACTGCAAGATTGTAACACTCAGAAACAAGTAGGAAATGTTTGTGGAAATACCTTAGGGAGATTCAAAAGACTTCTAGCAGTACTGAATGCAGTAGTTGGAGAAGATTTTCACCTCTCTATGAAGCTAGAGTCAGTTAAAATCATTGCCTTTGGTTTCCTGAGATCTTCTAAAGACTGAAAACAAAAGAATATGAAATGTTACTGAAATTTGTCCCAGGTTTGCAAACAATGGTTTTCAGTATTTGAAAATAACTTGCTGCTTTTGTAAACCATGAATAACAGCTCATCTTTTATTTGTTTTCAGTTTCTCACAGAGCCAGTTTGTTATGATTGCTCTCTCCTACACAAAAGCTGGTCAGGATTTCCAAACACTCTTCTGTTTGTTTATGGAAAGCTGCAATAAAAACATTTGCTTACTCTAATTCAGTGCAAGAATGTGGTAAATAAAAACACTAATTTAACACCTTTTACCCCCTAATGTATGAAAGAAAACTAAGCACTTGCAGATGACATATCTTTCTCTAGTCTGCACATATCCACTACAGGGCAAAGCAACTGGTTGCTCTTCTTTCAAGATAGAAGAGGTCCAAGTTCAGTAACAATGCTGGCTTTTGTACTTCCTTCTCTTGCTTGACCTGGCTTAAGAGCACAGAGAGACTTCTGTAGAGTTGCTTTGAATTTTTAGTGGGGTTTTGTTTATTTTGATTTTTTTTTTTTCTTAAAGCTTTAAGAGGCATGCTGGTGATTCAGTCAACAGTACACCTCCACAAACAGCAATGCCAGCAAAACACGAGTGCAATAAACTGCAGCAGAAGGCCAGAGGGAACATGAATACCTCAAGCCAGTATTGCTGCAGAACATCTTGTATCAAACCATGATAGAAAGGCAAGGAGAGGCTAATCCACAACTGTTACTCAGTTATCATCCATCTATCCAGACAAGGTGCATAAGGGATTGTAAATCCATAAGATTGAATGTTCTGATAAAGTCTGCTCCTTCTGACAGTTTTCAAACATGTGTATCATACAGACAAACAGAAGGAAAATATGTTCTCCGTCCAGATTATGGAGAGGCTTTTTTTTTTTTTTTTTCCTTCAAATAGAAGGTACTGAATTTACAGCTCAATATTTTGTTCAACTATTCACCATTCCCTTTAGTCTGAGACAACTTTTCCTTATTTGGTGAAAAGGCTTTGTTTCAAGGAAAGAATCCTAAAAAGAAGATCTTAAATAATTTTTAATCTTTGATCTCTAAATAGGATCAGAAATAGAATTAGGGAAGGAACAGACAAGTGTTTAGACTTGTGTCCTCTTCAGGTCTAAGCAAAAGAAACACTTCCGCTTTAAATCCTTGTCCTTTCTTTCTCCTTCCCAGACTATATCAACTGGTTCAGAAAAAAAAAAAAAAAACACAACACAACACACACAAACAACTAAAACAACAACAAAAGCCTACCCTTCACCTCTCTCATATCTTTAGATCACCATAGCTATACTACCTTTTTTTTTTTTTTTCCCCTCTCCTTGTAAGTATCCAGAGCTTGGTCTGGTTTGCTATGGGCTACTTGGTAATCACAGAAACTAAAGATACAGCCTAAAAATATTCATTCCTTGGGTTTCCAACAACAATTTTGAATATTCACAGTACACAGACCAGTGACAGAACAAAATGTAGAAACATAATGTGTAATTCCCTGAAGCAATCTATGCCACTGAAGATGCTTCCACTCCTCTTCCCCTGTATGCCCCGTGCTCTGCCACAGATTTCTCCAGAGCACAGGCAACACTTGCACTGCCACCATCCCACTGGCATTACAGTACAAACCCAAACTGACACCCCACGACAGTGCCTGCAACCAGCTGAGCTGAAGGCACATGCTCTACTCCACCAGTTCTGCTACGTGACCAAAAGGAAGCAGTAAAGCTAGAGGTATTTATGTCTTAAACTACCACAAATCACAATTGACGAGGCTCAGTTATTAGAACCTTTATTTTCTTCACTTATCCAGCAACACCACTAAGAATCAATATAAGTCCATAGTGCAAGGGTTACTTCTAATTAGTAAAGACAGTCAATTCAAATGGCCTGTCTAGCAGATTTCCTCCCTTTAAGGTAGCTTAGCGTTGCACTATGCCAGATTTGGAATCCTGTGGAAATGTGAACAGCTGCAAGAAGTATAAACTACACTAGTTTTATACATGGCTTGTTCTCATCTTCAGTAAGTCTCTTCTGTCATTTGCATCCAAAGATGTAAAGAATGGAATCTGACTCCATAAAGTGTCTAACATAATGGACCTGATTAAAAGGTCTAAAAAGAAACCAAACAATCTTAATAAAATAAAATTTAAAAATCATTAAAATAAATAAATCAAATGGCATGCTGCAAACTGAGTATGTACTTGAGGGTCCAGTCACACTGGTACAAGAGAACTTCATGAATTAGGCAGCCAGCCCTGGCTACAGAAACATTTTGGAGTTTGACTTGCTCTCCATAAAGGTGAATTCCTACCTCTCTGTCCTACGTCCATTCATAGTCAGCCTCCCTGGGTAAGCAAGCAAAGCACATCCAGTCCTCTTATTTACATTTCAGCAACTTCTATGGTTTTGCACTTCCGTGATTCTGTTTGGAGGATGGAGCACATACACAAAAAGTAAATGCATGAGATTTCATAGTCCTATTGCATCATTCAGTTCCCTATGCACTTTCCCAACAAGCAAATACAGCACCGGCATTTGTATGCAGAAGTCACCACAGACATGCAGAGTGTATTTTAATGTAACCTCACTGAGGATGAGAAACTCAGCACAGCAGGGTTACAGCACACTCTCCAGTGTACTCAGCTGTCCTGATGCACTAAGACCCTGCCAGAAAGGAGTTCTGTTCTCTTCCTGTTTGACTGAGTTTTCTACTAAAGAGAAAAGGACAAATGAAAAGAAAGGAAGATCAGCTGAGGAATATGCCAAACCCACAAAACAGGTACTGTCATCCCTACTAAATAAGTTCCACACTTCAGCCTTCAGCTCTTGAGATCTCTATTTTTATTTCCACAGTTTGCTGAAGTCAAAGTCCCAGTTCTGTTCTGAAAACATCATCTCAGTTTTTTTTTTGTTGTTGTTGTTTTATGCAACTAAAATAAAGGTCACTGACTGCAAGGGGGCTTTCAAAACTAAGTATAACACAGACACAGAAGATGTATCCCCTCAAAGGGAGAACCTTTTGATGGTCTACTATTGCTTTAAAAGCATCATTTTTAAATTTGTATTAGATTAGGAAAAAATATTATTCAAAGCTACTCTCTTCTTATAAATGTAGCCATTGGAGAAAATATTAATACCAATTTTAGAGAATTTCAAAAATAAACCTGGAAAGAGTACATTCCACATATCTTGATGACATTTCTTCAGCCACAGTTTTTATCTGTTCTGTCTTGATAAACCAGATAGAGTCTCAGATTAGCTTATAAAGGGCAGTAGCCCTTTTACTCTATTTAACCTGAAGTGAAACCTGATGGAAAATGTTTCAGACATAATAAGGCCATTAGCTTGCTCATGTCCATTTCAAAAATCTGTTATTAATCTAAACTTAACCAATCATTAAAAAATAAATAAATAAATAATAACCCAAACCCATACAGGACAGAAATAAAGTCTTATCAACACTGCAGAAATAGACCTCAATCACTCTTAGATATTATACCTTCAAAACAAACCCCTCCCCCATTACCTAAACTAGTGATGTTGAGAATTTTTTTCAAGTGTATTCTTACTGAAGAGTAGAATGAAAGGCTATTTTGGAGGCACAAAGGGTTAGGAAATTTGAAGATGTTAAAGGTTAGACTAGAAGGGGCAAAAATACACATACACGTTTTTAAGATACATCCAGAGTAAACCCGGCAGTCAGGGAAAACAGAACAATAAATTAGGCTGCAACATCACATCTTCTACACTGTCAAAAACCACCACTATAGATATCAATCCTGTCAGGAAAAATAAAGACAGATGGTTGCAGAAAAAGACACTCTTCAGAACAACCATAACCTTTAAATACTGATGAACCAAAATATTTACAATATTTATCCCCCTCTACATCTCATTCTCTACAATTAAAGTTGTAAATTGCTGCAGCATATTGCTACAGAAATTTTGGCAGAACATATTCTCAATTTACATAATTGTTCAGAGTAGTCACCTAACACAGAGAAAAATCATACATTCTCAAGTATTATTGATGTTCTGAAGCCTCTGATTATTTTTACTCATAACTGCTCAGAGATTTTGTTGCTTTCTCATCACTGAGACATCTCTGACTGCTGATACCAAAGTCAATAGCTGCAAACTGGCACGAGTGTGAATGGAATTTACACAGCATCCACTACTGGATGCCACTTTTTGGAATGACATCTTTCATTTCTCAAGCCAACAGAGGTGTATTGTGAAGAGTTAGCAACGTATGTAGGTGTATCAAGACGCATCAGTACTACCCCAGTTCCCACAGGGCATCTGCCCTTTGATTGACTTGCTGTCCACTGACAGCACGGAGCACAAAAGGTGTCCTAACTCAGCTACCTCGTGTGTGCAAACCTTCTTCCCAAGAAAGGAAGCCAAATACTGCTGATCCACAGGAAATCTGGTAAGTGACTTCAATGTCAAATCTTAGCAATATCCAAGTTTTTCCATAGGTAAAAGTGCAACTAAAATACAAATCTGATAAAATCTTCCAATCCCACTCTTGGCCAGGTTACTCAGCAGTCAGTGGCACAAAGCTCCTCCATGCATGCTGGAAATCTCAAAGACTGTGGCCTAGGACACAGACTTGCACCTGCCCAGAACATGCTACAGCTCCTTTCTGGCCTACATTAGTTATTTTCTTTTCTATAAGTGACAGGCAGGGTGGGCAGGGTGGCTGGTCCACATGGGAACAGCCAGAACCGGGAGTTTCAGAGCTCCCAGGTTAAACTGCCCGACTCCAAAAACACTGCTTCATTTTATTCTCTTGAAACTACCTCCCAGAGTTGCCTCTGGTCCCTGGAATTTCTTCACAGACTCAGCAGAAATGCCCCTCAAAAAATTCTCTCCTAAGCATGATTCTTCCCAAATTGAAGGTCTGAACTGTTTAAAGCCCAAAATCCCACCCATGAGCCAACATTTTAAAAAATGAATTAATTTTAAAATTGTTTAAAAAAACACTGTGAAAAGTATCTGTTCTTTACTAATTTTCAGTAATCAGAATTTGATAGTAAAATTTTAAAAGTCCCTTTGAAATCAAGTTAGTAAAAGTCTGTAAAATAAAAGCATCGCATCTACAATCACATACTCTTGCAAATGAATAAGCATATAGAATGACAGAAGCAACATCAGACCTCATTTTATCTCGTAAGTGGTCAAAAGGCCATCTAAATCAGAACACAAAAAAGTGGAGATTTAGAAATCGCTATGTTAAGGATCCTACATCTTTCACTACTGAGTATAATTATCATATAATTCAAGATATTGGGGGGATATACCACCACAACCAGTTAGTAATTTTTGTGGGGAATAAATAAATAAAAAATTAAAAATTAAAAATCAGGGTTTTAAAAATGTAATAATTTGTTAGGAGCATATCTGTTATTTTCAGACTTTTGGCACTCTTCCTCTATCTCCAAAGAAATGAGAACAAAAATTCAAACATGAGATTCCTCCCCCCCCCCCCCACAATCAGTTCTGAAGTAATTGAAGTTCTCAGAGCAGAGAACACACTGGCAAGTGCCATATGAAAGTCCTAGATGGATGAGTAATAGGAATGATAATTTCTTTACACCAGAAAAAAATAAAATGAGACAACTATGCAGTTACTGAAGGTGAGCATAATTATAGTGGATAATATTTATGTTTGGCTGGTTTCTCTTGATAAGTCAACTGTTCTCGCCTGAGTGTTTAAATTAATTTTTTTTCCCCACTTAATCCAATTCCCATTTCTAGTCCAATTTATAATCATCACTTCCCCATGCTAGCGTAGCATTAAATTACTCTCATTCTTGGCCATTCCAGTCAGCAGAGTCAATCAAAAACACCACAGCAGTGCCACAGATTTCATGTTGAATACATTCCTTTTTACTGTATTGTAGAAGCTGATCAGTGTCAGAAGCTGCATTATATCAATTTCTGATTTTTCAGACAGAAGCAACACATCCTGAATCAAAAATGGAGATGTTAAAACCCATCATTTTTCTTAATGAACACTGAGTTTTCTCTGGCCAAATCCCACTCACTTTACTTTGCAAATACCCACTGAAGAAAAGGCTCACACAAGCCTAACTTTCCATCTGCTACCAATGTTTCAACTCTACTTCTCCTTACTGAAAACTGCAAATTTATTGCTCCCCTTAATACAAAGGGATTGATCAAAGAGGAGAAAAAAAAAAAAAAACAAAAAAAACCCTCAAACCAAAACAAACAAAACTACCTGCCCTGATGTTACTCAAATTTCTTTGTGTGTTCAAATTCAAATCCTGAGCCAAATTCACTTATACATTTAGCAATATGCAGACTTTTTAATAGGAGTTGTCACCTCAAACACAGCTGTTCATGTCCTTCTTACAGAGAAGACAGAATCAAATGAGATTACAGCTCAGCTAGAAGATCCCAGGGAATCTTGAGTTTGTTGTCCGAGGCAAGATTCTGCACTGTCTGTTCAGGGCCAACCTGAAGTTCAATCACTTCCACACTTGCTTTCAAAAATACATCTCCAGAAATTTGATTTCTGCATAGTCATCTTTACTTTTAGAATATCACATGGTTTTCTAACAGTAAAGACAATGATTAATCTCATATTCTGTATGGTTCACGTAACATGCTGATCTATAAAGTGTTAAACAAACAACACCTCAATTTCCATATTAAAATTCCCTTCCCTAAAAGCACTTGCTCTTGCTTGGAATTCAATGCAAAATATACCTGCAAATCTAACTGGATGGTTTCTGAAGAAACCCCAAGGCGACTTCTTCCCCCCTTTCAATATTAGAAGCACTATTTTCCCCACACCTGCCAACTCAGTAGCTGCCCAAATGCACATTCTCGCCATGTACAGGAAGTAACAGGGACTTCTGTTGCTCCTATGCACAATGAAGCACAATGATATTTTTTATAAACACTGTAAGCACCTCAAGAAAAAAATATTTATGTATAAGAGGCATTAATTGGTACGACTGCATTATTTTTAGTGTCTTACTAAAGCAGGAGCTTATTATCCCCTAAGAGTTTCTCAGAGTACCCATAACTAGCTTAATATTTTGTATATAACAATTCCAAAGTGCTTTACAGATACTATCAAATTACTCACAAACTGAAGACAAAAGATGACAGGAGTTTTTCTGAAATACTTTCAAAGTTAAGTAAAAATTTCTCTCTAATCCTCTATAAACTTGAACAAAACAAAGAGATCCGAGTGGCTCTAGTAGGTTTTTAAACTTCTGCGATAACTATATTGTTGGTTCAGCACGTCGCTGGATTTCTGTAGGATCTAGTTAAACAGCAAACTTGGTTATCGGGTAGAAACTCTAAACAATTGCTGGACTCCCCTTAGAGGCCTTGCCCCTTCCAACGAACCGCTTCATGCGGGCAGAGCCCAGAATCAACAGGAGTTGGCAAGGCTTCAGTAATTCTTTACCCTCTGTGCTACAGTTAACAGGACTGTGGCCTCTGGGTCTACTCTTGGTCTTGTCGTGAGTGAATGACTGCCGTTATTAACACTGACGCAAATAAGACAAACCCAGACTTGCTTCAGAAACATTTATAATATATCCTCCTATCCCTACAAAACCAGACAAATTTATAACAAGCTTAAAAAAAATTTACTCGTGCTATTTGCTAAGATCAACATCTGCAGTTTATCTCACCGTGCTAAGTTTTAAACTGTAGCTCCGTTTCTTTCCCTTTTTATTGTGGTGTACGGTGCCAAGTATACTGCTTCCTTGTGTTTGCGTGTAACGGTTATGTTTATATCAACTGTCAGTCAGGCGCTGCCAGAGACTGTACAGACAAGCCAGCTTCACTCCGCAGGCTGAATTCACCCTCCCTCGATGCTCTGGGAGACTCGCAGCAACGAGTCACCTGCAACCCGCAGCACGGCAGGAACCCGCGTTGTTTTGGCAGAATTGCTCCAGACTGACTAAAGAGGAAATTTAGCCCTGAGAAGCAAACCTTTCCCCACTCTGGAGCTAGGTATTTAACCACCGGAGCAGTACCTTTTAAATTCCACGGGCTGCAAATTTAATCTTCCAGCGATCAAGGTGCCTGGCTCCTTTCTAGCTGGCAGCTCTCTTGTATTTAAACGCTGGAGAGGCGCAAAAGCTTGGTTTTGTCACTCAAACGAGCGGCTCCGAGTCAGGATCCACGAAGGGAAGCGCTCCTCCTAAGTAAGGAGACGCATTTCAGCGCCCGTTCCGAGGCGGCAGAGCCATGTTCTGAGAAACCCGCCACAAACCGAGCACCTGGAGCACCGGCCCCGCACAACCCCGGCGGGAACGGGACTCACCGCGTCTCGCAGCCGCTCCCGGGGGCTCCGGTTCGCCCTGGGCTCCCTCCCCGGCCCCCCGCCGCCGGAGCGACACCGAGCCGAGGGCCGGCGGGACCGCCGGGCGCCAGCCGTTACCCGGGGACGCCCCAACGGTCGGGGCTGCCGTTTAGAACCGTCTCCCTGGCGACGAGGACACTCACACACCGACCCCCCCACACACACACACACCACACCCCCCCACCCCGCCTGCCCCTCAGGCAGCGGTACGGAGGGACCGGGGCAGCGGGGCGAGGCAGGACCTCCGCCGGCCGCCCCGCTGAGGTAACGGCGGCGGCACCGCAACCACCTCGGGCCCGGGCGCTCGCTCACCTCGCGGCAGGTGCCGGGGCCGGCGCCACCCTCACCGCCCCGCTCCGACGGGCGGGCGGGCGGGCGGGCTACCGGGAGCCGCAGAGAAAGAAGCTCCCGCGCCGCAGCCCCGCCGTCCCGGCTGATGCGGCTCCGGTGCCGGAGCAGGAGGAGCTTGCCCCGCCCCGCCCAGTGCGCAGCGGCGGCCCGGCGCGGCAGGGCCGCACCTGCCGGTGGAGGGGCCGGGCCTGGGCCGCCGGAGCCTGGCGCCGGTTCTCGGTCACCCCCGGGGCTTGGCGAGGGCCGCTGGCCTTCGCAGTGATCCCGGGAGGCGGCGGCCGCCCGGCAGCGCCGCAGGCTTCCCGCCCGCCGGGGCCGCGGCCCTGCGGGAGGGCTGGAGCGGAGAAGGCCCCGGGCAAGCCCCTGGAGTAGGGAGAAGTTTGTGGGCAGAGCACCTGAGAGGCGGGATCGCCGCAGGAGGGTTGTCACACCCCGGGGGGGGGGGGGGGGTGCGGTTCGGGAAAGAGGATTTAAGGGCAAGAAATACGGCTGGAAAGGGAGAGGTGTCCAGAAGGGCAGGCCCACTGCAGCGCCAGGGCCTGAGCGCTACATCCTAGGATATTAAAAGCATCAGTGCTTTATTATCCTCTTAAGGATTTTGATGGGGCTTTTAAAAAAACCCGATTGCAAGAGTGACGAGGGACACCTCTCTGAAGATAAACCTGCTGCCCACGAGCACGCGGCACCGGTGTATTTTTCCAGGCGCCACCTTTGCAGAGGCAGAAGAGAACCTGGCTTTGCGGTGAGGCTCAGCAACGGCTTTTCTTTCAACCTCGCCTCATGGAACTGTGAGGTGGTGGGAGCTTTTCTTCCCTCACCCTCTAACCGATCTCATGATTGTGAAGAACGTTCTGGGGAATCAGAAAAGATTAGTGAGCCGCTCATATACTTTAAGAAGACTGGATAGTGCTTTAATATGCAGGAAGAAATACTATTTTGAGAATTGCATGGAGCAGCTCTGGCTTTGAGCAGAGGCCACATTTTGCTCCTGGATTTTCTTAGGCGTCAGTTCCTGTTTTCTGAGCTGTACAGTTATTACAAAAGCAGTAGGTCCCCAAATTCTCTGCCTCCATCTCCAGTATACCTCCATATTAAATTTTACATACATGCCACATCAGAGGAGCTCAAGTCTTTTTCAGATGACAATTCCCTAAAACATTTTTCAGAGCGAGGGTCCTTAGTTAAGCCTGCTGACAGATGAATTGTTCTGCTGTAAGGTGTCCACAAAAGGCATCTAGAAATACAATTCCGCATCTGCAGAGCAGACAGTAAAAACTGGAAAGTCAGTGCAGAGAATGCTCCAGATGCTGTATATGGTGCCTTTTGTGTAGTAATACAAAGCTTCTCTAAGTCAAGCTTCAAGAAGCTTGCTGCTGATGCAGTGCAATACTAAGCAGAGTCCCACTGCTGTTTCAAAAGGGGGGCATAAAGACAGGGCCAGTTACCTCATGTGCAATACAGAACTACTGTGGCTACATTACCTTTTATTCCAGGGCTATTTTGACCAGTGTTAGCTTAAACATGCCCACACCTTGCTGCACTGCACAGTGTACACATGACAAGGTAAGTGATGAGCAGAGTCCCCCTACATTCAAGACACTTCTGAGCCACTGTAACTAGAAACATGGCAGGAACTGGAGCGTGGAGTTGCAGGAGGCACAGTGCTGGTGGCTGAGGTAAGCAGAATGTGAGCAGCGGGCAGTTGGCAGGAGTTCGAAGGGCTGCAAAAGCATTGCGGGACAGTCCGTGCTTTGCCTCTTTTCCGGGCGGATTTTCCTGGCCCTGAGACCCAGCAAGGCTTCCTCGCACTTCCAGGGAAGTGGCTACACAAAGAACGTGAAGGGCAAGAACATGCAGGAGGTGGTGTGGTGCAGGTCGTCTAATGCCTCAGGATGTAAAGGAAGTGCCTATGCTTTTGTAGACTGTGATCAAGCAAGAAAAGAAGTTAAGAGTCTGCACTGGAGGAGTCATGGACAACCGATATCTGTCGGAGTGCTGTCACATTTTGGATGAAGTTGTTATGGGTACAACTGCACAGTGATCAATTATGGCCAAACTGGTATTGGAAAGACCTCAATTTAAGGGGGAGCCCCAAGGAAGAACATGCTTGGGAAGAGGATTTGCTACCAGGTACAATACATTGTATCAAATATCAGAAAAACTCTCAGAGATTGATACTGATTTTTTTTTTGGTAAAATTTTCTCTCCTGGAAATCTATAATGAGCTTTTTGATCTTCTGAATCCTGTTCCCAGTGCTGGAGAAAGACTGCAGGTGTTTGATGATTGCATAAACAAGACAGGTGTAAATGTGAAAAGCTGGGAAGAAGTACTTGTACATAACAAAAATAAAGACTACCAAATCTTGGAAGGAGGTGCAGCAAAAAGAACTACTGCAAACTACTGCAACTATTTACATAAATGCATATTCCCATTGATCCTACTCTGTGTTTTCTGTTACCACCCATATGAAAGAAACCAGAACAAATGGACAAAAGCTTGTTAGAACTGGGAAGATAAACTTGGCTGATTGTGCAGGAAGTGAGAACATTTCAGTTCGGGGCAGTTGATAAAAGAGCCTGCAAAGCTGGAAGTACAAAGTAGTTTGTTCTGACTGGTGAAAGAGTTATTACTGCTCTTGTGGAAGGAGACATAGAGAATCCTAACAGAATCCTTCAAGACTCTCTTGGAGAACAACAAAGAACATCAATAATTGCCACAGTTTCTCCCACATCTATAAATCCTGAGGAAACTCTGAGTACACTAGGGTATGCTGACAGAGCAAAGAACATAATGGAGCCTGAAGTTAACCAGCAGCTGCCAAAAGAAGCTATTGTTAAGGAAGATACTGGAGTAATTGAACATCTAAAAGGAGACCTCACTGCTTCACAAGAGTAAAATGGAATCTATATTTTTGCTGAAAATTCATGAAGCCCTTAAAGGAAAGCTGATAGTTCAGGAAGAATAAGTCGCTGAGTATATTGACATAATCAGTGCCATGGAAGAAAAAGTGAAAACAATCACTAAATGATTCACAATTAATAAAAGCGAACCTCAACAGTGAAAACAGACCTGTAAATCAAGGAGAAAGAACTGTAAGAAGCACAGACAAATCTGCAAGAAGCCTCCGGCTGAGAAAGAATATGTGGTTTCAGTTCTGGAAAACACCTAAGAAAAACTTCATGGCACATCTAGCCATTTGGTTAGTACTGTTAATGCAAAGGATGTATTTATGCAAAACTGGATCATAAGAAGGCTGTTGACCAACACAATGCTACCATCCAAATACATTTACAGCATAAATGAATGTCCTGTTCAATAAAATACAAGATTCAGTTAGTGAGAACAGTCTGAAGCAGCAACAGATGTTGACATCTTATGCATATTTTATAGGTGGCCTTCTATCTACCAGTTGTTCAGCGGCTAATGTATTTGCATTAGTTATACGAATGTCTTTTGCCTCTGTTGAAAAAATTGCTGACCACTGAACTTTCTTATACATCTGAAAAAAATATTACAAAATAGAACTCTGCCATTTGCTAGTAAAGACGAGCTTTTGAGGTTGACTGAGGAGTATATATGTGGATTAGGAAGAGCATTAAATATCTTGACACCAACTGTGGAAATTGTCCTGGAACTAAACTGTCAGTTTCAGAATAACAAGAGGAAATTTTCTGCTGTGGCTGATAAGATGGATAGCCATAAAAAAGAAAATAATACCTCTGTCTCACTCTGAAAAAAATCCAGGAAGAAACAGACAGTGTTTTTTCTCAGCTGCAAAATGTTGCGAGAATTTAAGGGAAGTGAAAATGGCAAAGTTTGTATATACAAAGAATGCAGATGAATTAGTGTCCTTGCTGCAAAGCCAGCTGGGCCTGTTGGCACAGGACATATATAAGAACTTGGCTGGTATACTGTCAAAAAACAAAAGTTTGAAGACCACCATCACTGCTGGGCAAGAAAATGTTTACCTGGAAACTTTGGACCTAGTCAGCAGTAAAACTTCTGCTTCAAAACAAATTTACTGCATCTCTGGATAATTTCTTTCAAGAGCTCAAGGACATAAATGGTGAAAGCAAGAAGATGCTGGTGGAATCTATTGTCTGTTCTCAGCAATTTAGCAATCTCACAGATGTGTCTTAGGATACTGGTAAATGAAGATAATTTAAAACTGCTCGGACAGTCATCTTTATGGATCAGTAGCAGTCCTTCTTCAGCAATGAGAAACAGCAGCTTCAGTGTTTACAATAGAAAACAGAAGGTTTATGATTGAGATCAGTGTTTTGTATTGGATATTTTGTTTTGCATTAAGTTGTAGTAGATGTGGTTTGGAACTACCACACTGTATGAATAGATCCTACAACAGATCTATCAAGAATACAAATAGTCTTTTGTGTTCAAAGATCCTTGACATACTGCTGGCACTAAAACAAACTAATTGACAATTTTTAAAAGCATTGGAAGTCACCCATGAGAATTACAAACCAATGGTCTATACTGACCTTAAAAAAAGATTATGTCACATTGCTGCCAGCCATGTTCAGGATCCCCACATCCATGCTCTCATTTAGAAGCTTGACTGAATGACTGCTAAAAAAAAAGAATCTTCATATCGATTTCCAGTATGTGCTCACTAAAAGCCAGCCAATAAGTAAGAACTTATTCAAAGAATGGAATTGTCCTGTGGCTATTGGAAGCTGGGAGCTAGACAGCAAGCAATTCTGTGTAATAGGGAAATGCAATGGATTTATGTATTACATTCAACTTCTCTCAAGAACAATAGTGAATTGTGGCTTGCAGCATCTACGAAATGCATGACTGTTAAAGAGGCAGAAAAATGATCCTTAAATACAGACCTGTAAGGCTCTTTCATTCTCTCTCTATATATATAAAAGCTTATATTGCTATAAACATACTCCCTTACATATTTTTTATGTCTAACTTTAGAGTTTGGCATCAGTGTAATTTCTTTATCACTGCAACATATGGCAGTCTTCCCTGCTGCCAAAACATGGCCATGTTTCAGCCTCAGGGTACAGCTGGGTTGAACTTAAAACTGAGACTGTTTTCAAACATGGATACAGAATTTTATGTTACTCCTTCTGACACCATAAAGGGAAAGTAAATTCAAAATTCCTGTCACCAGAACCTCTATGAACACTGCAGTGCCTAGTGGTTTCAGCCACACTAGGAAGTGTTTTTTCCTTCTAGTTTTTGGATAACATCTGCAATGATAACCTGACACTACTATGTCAGGATCATGCATCACTCAACTATTCACACTGAAAACTTCTTCAGATCCCAGCATGGATTTGCAAGATTCTGAATCTTACAGTGATTTATGGTGAGTTTCCTACATAACCACAAATTATAGCAATCTCTGTTCATGTGCAATCAATGATTCTGTAGACCTT